GTCCTAACCACCATCAAATTACTTTCAACACATTTTGGAATTTTTTTTTTCCTTTCATTAAGTGCGTATTTCAACCAGAAGTATCTTCAGCAGTGATCACAGAGTTAGCTTACCATAAAAAAGTTGAATGTGCAAAGAATACAAAAGACTATATTGAAAAATGGTGTTAAATTCATTGTTATAACCCAAGTGCTACTTTCAGGCAGATTTGGTTGAACTGTTAAAAGAATGGATATAGAAAAACCAGAAAAACGCAAGACAGCTGACAGGAATAACCAGAGGCATGGAAAGACAGTTCTATATGGAGTCTGAGATTGAGATTTAGTTTAGAGTCCAGATTAACAAATGTTGCCTGGTATGAACATATAAAATAATGATTATTACAGGCATTTCTTCAGAGCCTGGGGGTTATTAATAAAGCTAAGCACAAAGGTTCTTTCCCAGCCTATAAGAATTCTGAAGATTTCAGAAAGGTCTTGTTAGTATTAGGACAAATCCTTTCACAATTTTCACAAAAGCAGAGATACCCAACCTATTACAGACAATAGTGCAGTAGTAAAGACAGTTGCCTTGGATGCATTAGATATTCAGATGGATTTAAGTCTCTATTCAGCTGGATTCAGAAAAGGAAATTGAACCAAAGTCGCATGTCTTAAAGGATAATGCCCTAACTATTAGGCTCTGGGCATTGTAATGCAGATTTCTCTCAAGGCTTCTTTTTGAGCAGTTCCATTTCCAATAAATTATTTATTTGCTATTTGAAATTAAAGCTTTCTAAAGGAATTTTTTAAACTACCCTTGGCATGAGAAAGGTTTTAGGTTTGATAAAGAAGCAATTTCTATTAAAAACTCTGTTAACTTAGAAAAATCCCTATTAGCTTTAGTATTTCCAAGAGCAGATGCAAAAATTTCAGAAATTTGTACACAATCTTTTTCCTTAGTGGCAACACTAAAAAGAGGACGGCAAGACCATGCCATGAGATCTTTTCCTCACATATCAAGTGATTTAAGGCTGAGGAATCATTGCTACTAACAGACAAAAATCAACCTCTCCCATAAGAAAAAAAAACAAAAAACAAAAAACAAAAACCCAAAACCCAAATATGCAATAAAATTAAAAATGTTTTCATGTAAAATTGATCAAGGGAAAACACAACAGCATTCACACTACTTTTTTTTTTTACCTAACTCAGAACAAAGTTGACTATTTTTATAGCTGGGAGGATATGCTCTTTAATGTGGGCTTTTGCTAATATATAAGTCATATTTACAGTGATTTATTTTTACCCTTTCAATCTATAATCTTGGAAGTATGCTGTTCCCAAATGAAATAGCAATTCTCATGTGATTGGAACTTCAAGACTTCAAGTCTGTTTTTCTTAGCTTGTTCTTCTATAGCTGATCTTGCATTTGACTATTGCCTCCATCAAGATGCTTATTGATTACAACTCTTAGTTATTGTAGCTGCCTTATGCAGGGCTTCCCAAATTACAATGATTGAAACCAACCAAAGTTATGTAATATAGTTTATCCATTGTTATACAAAAATTGATTCATTTTTGAAGACCTCTACTCATCTCCCAAGTTCACCACTGCACCAACTCTGTAGCAATGTTTTTTCCTCCCCCTTCCCTCTCAGTTTTCCCATTCTGGCTTTCATCCAGTTCTCTCTACCTTTCTCTGTGTTCATGTGGGTTACTGCAGAGTGTTTTTTAGCTGTTTATCCCAAATTCATACCAGTGGTACCTAAAAACCCCCTTTAACACACCAACTCACACCCGCTCTAAAGCAATTAACACCATGCTAAGCAGTTCCCTGCACCAATGCACACAGAATCATTAGTATGATTACAGTCTTTATCAATTTAACTTCTGTTCACTGGGAAAGGAGAGACATTAATGTTACACTGAGCAAATGGTAGCCCTGCTAAAGCCAGATTATGGGACAGTGAAATTCCTGTGTGTGGAACCAGAAATGCAGCCAAAGGAGCTGCAGCTAAACCATGAACAACTGGGTACAGACTGCATCCTTCCCACTTCAGTGTTCTCCTACTACATAAAAAGTTCCCTTGCAATGAAAATAGACACTAGCACAGCAGAAAAAGACTTGTGTTTAAAACCAACCACCTGTCATGAATAGAAGTTTCTATTCCCACCTCCACCACCTCCAGTTCACCACATTACAAAGCAGAAATAGTTCACGTTTGGATACCAAACTACATCATGATACTACTGCCAGCAAAGTAATGTGTAATGAATCACATTATTCCTCAAGAGCTTTAAACAGGTAGAAACAACCATAGATAAACTGCCAAGGAAATACACAGTTCCAATTTTATACTGTCTGTAGGTTTCAGACTAAAAATAACGCACAGATGTAATTTTCAAAATTAGCATTCCTATTAAAAAGAAAACCAGACTCATCCTAGTTGATCTTAGACATTGACTTATTCACCAGAATAATTCCACTGAGGCAGATAAATACATTTGCATGAATAAAGGCCTGCACTGCAGGACTTCATAAAAACATACATATGGGACAAAAAAAGAGCCTAGGAATTAAGTCAGTAATTTGGACAAACTTTTGTTTCATAACTGCAATGCAGTCAACTTAGTTGGCTATTTCTAAATTCAGATCTAATAAACATTGCTGTACAGCACTGTCTGAAGAGCATTACTGTCTTCAAAGCAATTTCACTTTTTAAGCTTCAAAACACACTGTTTGTCTCTGGCTCATAACTGTTGATGCACTTCTGAACCACCAATTCTTCTTGTCATCTTGCCTAATTATAACACATTCCTTAAAACTTAACTTTTGTTTGAAAAACAGGTTCATAAAACCTACCAGTTCAATATTCAAAAGAGCTGTTAAATTAACTAATTAACAGCCTAAAAATGTAGGAATTCAAAGAGAAGAATTTAGACATGAGTAGCCAAAACGATGATCCTGGAGATGTTCCTACCTGGAGATGTTTCTGATGGCCATAAGGGTTTTCATGGTAAGACAGGCCAGACCCAGAAGCTGCATCTCTGTTCAGGGCCAGAGTTCACCTGCTCAGCCAGGGTGCTTCATCTCATGGCTCGGCTTGTGCCCAGTCCTGTAGGAGCTGCACAGCTGATCTGAGTTTGACCCACCAGGCACTCTCAAAGCCAAACACCAACCAGGTGGGCTCCCTACAAAATGCTTCAGGTGCTATTTCTTTCCAAAACAGCACATGAACACCAGTCATTCCCAGCCTAGCAGCAGCTCTGCTCATCCCAGAAACCAAATCCCCTGGTCCCATTCCTTCCTCAGCTCAAGACCCAGCAATGCCCTTTAGCAGGATGGACAATTCTGCTAAATTCCAGATCAATCAGTTGGCTACAGGCTGCAGTAAATGCTGGGGCAAGGAGAGGGAGATATCAAAGTTCTACCACTGAAGCTCTCTCATTGTACAGAAAATAATTCAAGATTCATTGGGCTGGAGAAAGAACACAAGAGGGAGCAAGAGTCTGTAGCCTAGTGATTTGGGCACTCAGCTGGGAAAAGGAGTCCTGGGCTCCTGGCCTCTGCTCCATAGAAGGTTCATGCAATTTATCTAACAGCCTTTCAACAACCTAAGTCTTAGCTCGAATCTGGCCATGTTTTCCTTCCTGATCCAAGTCTATAAATAATACTTTGTTTGCAAACATCAACATATCTCTTGTATGCTCTTAATGCTAAATTTTAAATAGGAAACATCAATAAAACTGAAATGTGCCAAAATCTGAAAGCTTATTTCATATTCACTTTCCTTTATAATGCTTAAAATACAAGAACTTACTTGTGATCAGGTTAAAAAAACTATTAAAATGCAAATACATGGTTTTACCTGTGTCAATAATGCTGCTTTGAACCACTAAATTGGAAGTTATTTTTTCATCTCATCTTTCTCAGAATGAGGTAAGATTTTTAAGAAGTTATAAAAATAGTAATAGCCTTCTAACATCTTTATTCTGCTCAGTTTCTGATTCTCACTTAACAGTATTTTCATTTGCTGGTTCTCATTCCCTAGAACAACAGTGCAATGTCATGCAGGAGACTTTAAATCCAAGCAAGGTTACACTGAAATTCCCACTCCAACAATTTCATGGACATATTTCTGGTTTTGCTAAACATTCTTTTCATAATAGCTTCATTTTGGGCCTAAGCCTACATAACAGGGTCCCTTTAAATAATATTCCATGCCTTGAAACATATTACAAAAACTGTTATATCAAGGCGAGTTATGCAAGGGCTCTCTATGGTTTTAGCATATTTACTCTGTCACGCCATGTGTGAGACTGCAGCCTCCACAACAAAACCTTTACACACTGAAGTCATTATCTCTGTGAAGTCTGCAACTGGCATTTAAAACTTATTGATGGCCTGGGTATTGGTGGCTCAGTAGGCAGCACTCTTGCCGGAGGCCCAGGAGGTCAGGGGTTCACATTCTGCTCAGAGAACAAGTTGGACATGTTCCAGGTTTGTGTGTGGGCTGTGCTACACTCCTGAAGGGGCAGTCCTTAGGACAGTAAGTGAAACCTTGGCTTTTTGGGGATATCAAAGTTCTCCCACAAAGGGAAGAGGAAGAGTAAGAAGAAAGTTTAACAAATGAATGAACACGATCACGCCGGCTGGGGTCCTGGATTTGGTTGTGTGCTAAACCCAGAATGGTCCAGATAGAGTACACTGGACAGCTTTAAAGAAGCGGCCACATTTCAGTCTCTGTGGTCAGCACATGTTCAAGGGAGAGGTACAGACTCCAGGCATGCTCAGTATCAGCCAACTTCTCAACAGCAGAGTGACTTTGGGTTCAATTTCACACCACAGAACTATGAAAAATGCATGTGCAGTTTCAGCAAGTGAGCAGTCCAAACAAAACCACTTCAACACTGGAGCAGCTTCCACCCATACTATACAATCACTGAAAAAATATCCAGCCAAATATACAAGTCAAAACTAGCAACACATATAGAGAATAATATAAATCAAGATTCGACCTGCTCTGGTGTTAAACTTTGATACTTGAATATCCCAGATGTCTCCCTCCTCCTCTTCTTCTTTATAGACAGGTAAAGATGGATCTCTTGAAGGAACTGGGGATCACACTCTAGGCAAAGGTTGGACAGGTGATCAATGTACAGCATGAGATTGTGCCGTGGCTATGTGCCTCCAACAGTGACTGGATCATCTGGTTTAGAAAAACAATTCAAAATTGTAATATTTTCTAAAGCACTTATAAGGGAAAAATTAGTAAAAGGGAGAACATGTAATTTTTATAACATGGAATATATCACAGAACATCTTTCCATAATTATATATTTAATTTCAAAAATTCATTTATTTCCTATTTAACATTTAGTTCATTAACTTTTCAATTCCTTAGAAGTCAGTCTTGAGAGGACTGCATCCCATTTCCACTGGCAGAAAAAGTTACTAGTGTGATACAAAGTTACTCTTATAAGTGTCAATATATATATTTTTGGCATCTAGATTTAGATATAACCCTACAAAGTGCCAGGGCCAGGCCCAGCCCATTCCTTAATCAGGTTTTGGGGCAAGCCAGTATTTATCAGACAAGTGGGATTCTACTCTGCAGTGCTCTTCAGGAGGTAAGCACAGAGGTTAATGTTTTGTTAATGAAGATACATCTCCCAACACTCCCTTCTGTGTCAATAGAATGAAAGAGCATTTTCTAAAGGACCATTCAGAGAACTTGAATGATACCTTTTCTCCCAACATTTAGGAACACCATCTTTTATCTACCAATCTTTTACATGGTGCCTTCTTTTTCTTTTTTTTTTTTTTTTTTTTTTACCATCATGGAAAAACAAATACTGCCCTCCTTCCCAGAAATATCCATTAGTATAATGGATCTTTAGGTTTACATTTGGTGAAATCAACCTGTATTTACACACAGTAAAAGAGATAATTAATTACAAGCATCATGACATCTTTAGGCTATCACACAATTAATGTATAAGCAACGAGCTGCTTAAATGAAACAAGATATTGATGGCATTATTTCAAGTTCAGAAACAGAGGAACTCCTAATATAATCCCAGTGCAAATTTGCAAAGAATTACACGTTCATTTTGTCACTAAAATATGAAAAGGAGCTATTTCAAGGAACGAAGGATGTCCTCTTAACCTGCAACAACAAATTTGTTTGGTTTTTTCTCTTCTCAGTAAGAAAGCAATTAGGATTTTTTCCAATAAAAATATCCTTGTCCATATATAAACACTCCTGGTAATCATGTAATTACCTTACCCAATCAGATTAAATTGCTGTCAGTTGAGTTCCCACCGTTGATTAACTTTTGTGTACTCTGAACCTAAATGAAGTCTTTGGTAAAGTCACTTAGTCATTTACAAAGGTGTCTCTATGATCCCAAAAAGGGTAACAGCAGTATATTATTTACTATAATCATCAAATATCCAAGGTCAAAGATAGATCACAGTGGACCCCTTTTTTAAAACCCAAAGAAACACAGAATTAAACTATGTTGCTTATTTTTGTGTTTCTTGCCATGACTTCTAAATGTAATAGTAACCTTTGACCCCCCCATATTAAACACCATAATTATGTAATTAAAACTAATTATGCAATTTAACATACATATTTTTGTCCTACAACAGGCAGGTCAATTACCTCACTCATTGACCTTGGAAGCTTTCACAGTTTAAACAAAACAATGAGGCTTTCAATTAATTTTAAAGCACAAACAGAGAAGGAGCAGCAGAACCACAAGTCCTCGCACTGATGCTGCATGGAGGGATCACTTAGCAACCTCTTCATTTTGGATTCCAGAGTTAAATCCCTTGGTAAAAGCTGTTAAACATCTTTCTTCCATGTTGCTATCATTAGGAATGTTAACACATTTGTGAACAAACCATAAATGCGTGTTATTTGCTAAATGCAAGAAAGGAGACCAAGTAACATGTTTGCTTTGTCCCACTTCTTTTCTTCAGTATTGTTTCCTGTGCTTCCTCCCATACTTCATTGCCTCTATCCCTGTTTCAGCACCTCTTTCTCAAGTCTCTTTCTTTCCCCTGTTTTCTTCATTATTTTCTCTGTTCCATTTCTAGCTGTGAAGTTTATCATTATATCAAACTGCTGTAGCTGTTGTCTTATCCAGTTTCCATCCACATCCCTGACCCCATTCACGGGGTTTCTCAGCAGGTCTTGGCACCAGGTGCCTTCTGATGATGATGATCCAGCTGAGAGGGAACTAAAATTTAGCATTAAAAGCTAAAGCTGAAGCAAACATGGTACATGCTCTAAAATGAATTTTCCAGAGAGGGAAGTTTGGTACAAGTGAGAGACAATTTATGAAATTGTTGAAATATGTTTCACCTCGATAATATCTTTTTTTCTCTTTAAACACTTAGGTAAGCTCTATATACTGCACTAAAGGTTTTCAAATTGTACAAGAGAGACTCATGTAATATTACATTGTGTCCAAAGAATTTGTTCAAAGAATAAAATTAGCATTATCATTTAACCACATGTTTATTCTTCAGTAAAGTAAATTCCATTCTCTAAAGAATAATTCTTAAAGCAAGTACAAGCCCAGGAGCTTGACATTAAAAAGGATCATGTTCTGCTATCCTGCTTTTTTCAGTTACTATATAGACTACAAATAGATTCAGCAGAGTTAATAAGCTTAGGTGTGAAGTAAAGGGACAGACCACATATATACATAAATACTCCCTATATATATATATATACACACCCTATATATATATATATTCATGCATACATACATGTACCAATCATGCTTTAAGTTGTTTTCTCTAAACCTTGTTTCATGTGGGGATCAGAAAATAGCCACTGGAAAAACACATGAAAATCTTTCCTGACTTCTTAAAAGTATGGCAAAAATACCTAAAGTGCACTTTGTGCTTTGGTGTCGTTTCTAACACCATTTTTGGAGTCCTTTCAGTTCTCTGCTTTAATTAGGCCTGACTTGCACAAGGAGCTTGAAAAGATTTCAGTAAACCCTTGACATAATGGAAACAAGGAGCACTGAACTCTGAATGAGGAGTTACAACAGGAAAGAAACAATTTAAGATGGTAGCAGGCCTTATTGCAACATTAAACCTCAAATTGGATCTGATTTACACAAAGTAAACCAATATATTGAAATAGTGCCCCAAACTTCTGGACAAAAGTTTGAAGAAAAATAATACAGTGCATGTGTAGAAATTCTGTCCAAGGGACTGGAGGAGATTATTCCTTATATTCTCATTTAACAAAAAGGTTCCTTCTGTTTTGAACGGAACATTAAAATTCTAATTCAGCTCATAGAGCATCCCAAACAGAGCAGCAAAAGAATCTGTGAAGGAGCCCAAATATGGTGCTATTGAAACAGAGTGGATTAGAGGAATTGGGATAGAATCCTACAAGTGGCTAAGCAGCAGCAGGAGGTCAGCTTCACAAACAGCAGGATGCTGTTCTTGCCAGACGTGAGTGACATAATACAGGCAAAACAATCAAGATTTCAGCTGATAAATGTATGCCTGAGGAAAAGCCCTTGCTGTAGAACTTTCATAAGCAACAAATATTTAAGCAAATTCTGTAGATTTAATTTACACAGGAGAGCATTTTTTTCTTATACAAACATGTCACGTTAACCACATAGACCAGAATTCTTTATAACACAAAGATAATAATTTTAAGACCCTAAATGTAGAAAATATAGGGGTCTTTGCTCAATTATTCAGTAAATGGATTAAACAAAGAGCTTTCACAGGTTACTGCAGCTTCAAATGTGTCCCAAGCAATTCTGTGTACATTAGAATAATACACATGAAAACATTAGCTCCAAATATCTAGGATTCCCAGAAAAAATAACAGAATCCATGTAGCCCCACTGGTTATCTAAAAATTGCATATATCAGTAGTATTAGACGAGTTTCAAGTCTCTGAAGGGCACAGTGGCATTTATAAGGAGACATTGATATACTAAAGTAAGATGATCAATAAATCATTTTGGTTTCAAAATGTTATGGTATTATATTAAATCATTCTTTAAACATCTATTTTTCACTTCTGCTATTTTTGAAATACATTCTAAAAGGCTGAGATACCACTTATTTTCCATTTTATGCTATGAGCAATAAAAAGAAAATTTATTCCATTACTTTTAAGCTAGGGAAGTGCAAAACATCACGCATAAAACATTAATCTGTCTACCCCAAATTCTTCTCTGTCCTCCACAAAATATCCTTTTGGGCTAAATACTTTTGCAAGTCTGAATAAACTGTAATTCTGAGGTCAGATTCCAGCCTGGAGCAGAGACCAAACTTCCCCTAGACTCTTAGGACATTGTGCAATAAGAATTTCTACATGGTGCAGTTGACTATTTTCATTCAGAAATCAGATTAAGAGGCAGTTGGGCCTTTGAAAACATGAGCTACATGAGTGTTTAAGGAAGCAGGACAGAGGGAAGCCAACCAGGAGAACAAGGACACAGAGCTGCCCTGCCATGGCTCGGGCAATCACATGAGGCCACCATAGCATTAGGAGAGGACACTGCTGAGGACACTGTGTGGCCAGAGCTCTCCTGTGATCTGACCACAAAGGGGGGATTTCATAGCCCAGGGACTATGACAGAGCGTGTCTGTATTTTGGTAACTTGGTGGACATGGGAACAATCAATGGCCATTTCTGCTGGGAAAGTTCAGACTGCAGGGCACGCCAGGCTTGTGCTCCCTGGCTCCACTTGTGGATCTTGTAACGGGCTGTCCATCTGCAACCTCAAGGTGCATGATTTCTGGAGATCTGTCACAAAACCATACAATCAGGAGTTTGAAACGACCTGGAGCCAGCCATGGCATTCAGCAGGAGGTGATGCTGCTCCTCCCACACCTGCAGCTGTGCTGGTACTGAAGCCCAGAGCCAGCCTGCCAGCATCGCCACAGGCACTGGGACTCAGTTACATGCAGGGTGTGCTGCACATTCAAACCTGCTAGGTATGGAGCAGGGCAGCTCGACAAAAGCTGATTAAGACATGGTGCTGAGCTAAAAACTGGATGCTTGGTGAATATCTGTGTTTTGGCCTTTCCCCAAATGTCTTCCCCCAACAAGTGAGAGAGGACAGCTGGAGCAGACAAACCTTCTGTACCCAAGAGATTGTTTTTCTTTCCTTTGAAGGTATTACTTGCCTGTTATTACATTTACATAAA